GATGTACTCTTTAGTGATTTACACGGGGATAGACACTCGCATAGCTCGCAATAGAAAACAGAGTGGGAATGTCAAGCGTGGGAAGACTGAGGCGGAGATCAATCGCCTGTCGAAGTTTCTCTTCTGTTCATTACTATTTTTATCAGTGATGATGGTAATGAAAGACTTCTGCCAACACCCAACTAACCCCTTTGTCTTAGTTTCACTCACGCGCTTTATGATCTTATTCTCTTCAATTATTCCCATCTCAATGAGAGTCAATTTGGATATCGCAAAGTTGGTCTACGCCTTCTTTATTAATAAAGATAAGGAAATCAAAGGCGCTGAAGTCAGAAATTCTACACTCCCTGAAGAACTCGGAAGAGTCGATTTCGTCTTAAGCGACAAGACGGGGACTTTAACTAAGAATGAAATGACCTTCCAAGTCCTCTGCATGCAGTCTAAAATCCTCAGAGAAGCAAATTTCGAGGATATTAAAGACGACGTTAAAGAGTTGTGCGAGAACTGCATGGAGGAATGCAGTGAACTCAACGAGGCAAAAAAAGGAACTGAAAAGAACTTGAACATCGAGGAAAAAATTTTTGTCCAAAAGAAAAATAATCCAAAGCACTTGTTACGGTGCATAGAAGCGATGGCGCTGTGTCATAATGTGACGCCGTCATTCAATGAGAGTGGGGAGAAGTACTATCAAGCGTCCTCTCCTGATGAAGTAGCTTTAGTGAAGTTTGCGGAGCATGTTGGAGTAGTATTGGAGCATCGAACGTTTAAACAGATAGTCTTGCGGACACCTACGGGCAAATTGGAGTACGAAATATTGAACGTCTTTCCCTTTTCATCCACGACGAAGAGAATGGGAATCATTTTGAGAGCGAAAAATGGGGAAGTGCTGTTTCTTATGAAAGGGGCGGATAACGTGATGAGTAAAATCATTTCTAATAACGAATGGCTTGAAGAGGAATGTAACAATTTGGCGCGTGAAGGGCTCAGAACACTTGTCTTTGGAGCAAAGAAGTTGACCCAAGACGAATATCTCAATTTGCACAGAAATATGACGCAGCAAGTGCTTTAATGAGTAACAGAGATCTCGAAGTATTCAAAATTCAAGAGTCAATAGAATCAGGTTTGAAGGCCTTGTGTATCACTGGCGTAGAAGATGAGTTACAAGATAACGTCCAACGAACACTTGAAATGTTGAAGCAAGCAAATGTCAGAGTCTGGATGTTAACGGGTGATAAAGTTTGTCGTTGTATAGTATTTTTATAATAAAATGAATTAGAGTGGATAGATTCTTGTAGTTTATTATAAATAAATGAGACAAAACTAATGTGTAGGTCGAAACCGTTTGTTTTTTATATTTTTTATCTTTTATTATTATTACTATATTTTTTTAATATCAATTAATAATAGTATTATACTATAATTTACTCTATTATTTTAATTCTAGTAGTAGTAGTATTATTTATAATATATTATAATACTATAGATATAGATTACATTATTATTTTATTAAACTATACGTCAATTATTAGAATTAGATACTTATTGTAAACTCTATTATTATAATATATTTTATTACTATATATTATAACATTAATTATTATTATTAATAAATAACTTTTATAATTATATATTTTAT